CTCGCATCCAGGTACTGACCAGGCTCACACCTGCTTAGCTTCAGTGGGTTGCCAGTTGTGAGTTGCAGGGTGATATGGCTGCTAAATATTTTTTTCTATATAAATATCTTGCATGTTTTATAGAGAATTGAAATTTTCAAATTATTTTTACTTATGAAAGACTATTGAGACTTTACGTTTGAGCTATAGGGAATAAATCAAAATGCACTATTTCATCAATGCACAACTTTAATCAATGACAAAGAAAAATAAGTATTCTGCTGTGTGCACCCTGACAGACATAGCCATACATACATTTTGTACTTTTCATGTATTTCCATTGTACTCAAATAGATTAAAAAATGACAGTTGGAGTCTTTCAATTTCTAACAAAAATGTATTTGACTTTGATGCAATGAGTCATTAATACAACACTTTTCCATACAATACTATGATTGTTACACTTTTAAAACAGTATTATCTTGAATGTTCACTTTCCTGAGTAATGATGTGTGTGCAAAATCTTTAAATGAAACAAAACAAGACAAAACACAGAACCTGAAGTTATTTGTTATTAAGAGAAAGTAAGAAGTCAGGGATAACCTAAAGTATGGCAAAAATGTGTCCATCCAGAATCCATAACAGATAGCTAGTAAATGCAGCTTCTGTGTGCTTCATTTAAAATCTTGTCAGCAGATATGAAATGAGGCCATACAATGTATTTATTAATGGCTGGAGTTGTGTAACAACTGTACAATATGACAGAATAAAAAAAGAGAAGAATACACAAGGTTTCTTATTTCATCAATGACAAAGAACACGAATCTACTAATAACTAAGAATCCATCAATTTAAGCTTAGTTTTTAAGAGAAGACTTACAGTATGTACTACCCGGAAAATACATGGATGTGCATCTCTTCAGCAGCACATAGAAACAGTAATGTTTTGTTCACTGAAAATGTCTCCCTAAACTGTAAATACTTTTACAATATTTTAAGTGTATACTGCTTAAAATCTTCTGTAACAAATATTCTAAATACAAATGAGAACATAAATGAATATTAAAGATTGGGTGTGCTGTATAACCAATATGATTAATCACTCGAAATTAGTAAACAAATATGCATGTTAGATATTGTCAGAAATCAGAATTCAGGTATACTGATAAACAGTGTATTTCAAATCACCTTGTTTTTTTCCATTCAGGAGTGTGAGTGTACTGTTATGGCAAGTATGTGGGTAAGAAAGTGTTGCTGTTAATAGAGGCTTGAAAATGACAGGAATATCAGTTTTCCAAGTTCACTTCTTCACACTCCATTCCCTTAAGATTTGCTCAGCAGAACTTAATGTAGAATCTTTCTGCAGAAAAAAAGAAAAAGAACTGATAATCACTGGTAAGGGTGTACATACTGTATTCTCTGTCCCTATACTGAGGAAATATACAATATTGTCCGACAAACTGCTTAATGGACTAAAGTGAAATTGGACCTTTAAATTACATGAAATATAAAGTGCTAAACCAATGAACTATAAAAAAAACTATAAACATAAAAGTTAATACAATGTGTGACTGATACTCTTGTTGTTTTTCCATGTTCAATTTGTGCACATTTATGAGCACCTAGAAACGCTTACCTTCACAAAGCAGAATCTGACATAGTTTTCAAACTCCCTCTGGTGTTCAGGGCTGTAAAAGGCAGATACTGGGATTGTAGCCAATCCCTGAAGGCCAAAACACAGGAAAACAATGCGTTCTTATTTGATCTGTGATCAAAAAGCACTTAGATATATATGGTGTTCTTCAAAAATGTTCAGATGATGTGAATTTATAAGTCAATCAGAAAAACTTAATTCAGTGAAAAAATGATCTTCACTAACCTATTAAGACCTCAGGTTCAAACATTTTCTCGAACATGTTTAAACCTCAACGTCATGTGAAGTTACTGTGAATTATATTTCCGGGTACACACCTTATTCCTGATAAGCCATTTTACAAATCTGTTATCATAGGGTTCATCTGAATCATCAGAATCAGGGAGGTCTGCCTCTAAAAAATGAAAGCAGTTCAATTTAGATTCTGTACAAAACAGATTATCAATAAGACAGGGACAGTATTCAGCCAGTGAGCTCAAGCATTCGATCAGTTTTTCGAAGCACAATAAAGGGAACAGAGTTCTTCTACCAAGAACATCTATAGATGAGGGAAAATTGTTTAATACCATCAATGTTCAGAGACCACTGACAGTTTAAACTATAGTATTTTGGGGTGCAAATGTGAATGAAACATTCATATTCTGTTAAATGAGCACAACGTATATGAAATTAGAAACATGCACTTCCCCGTTTTATCAAACAGACAGTGGTCTGTGTCAGGGAACCACAAAACTCAAAATGTTGAAGTGGAACAAGAATAATGCAATCTCTGTGCAATGTACATCTTTACCAGCTAGAAAACACAAACATCTTCCAGCTTGATTTAAAAAAGTGCAGATATGGGTATTGGCAATATTATCTAACACTGAAATTTTACAATTTAGGATTAATGTCTCGGAAGTATTGCCTATTGGGAAAAGGTAAAAAGCAGTTTTAAGAAAACTTCACTGATTGCTGAAATATCTGCGATCATGAAGTAGCCCCCCTCAGGAATTATAGGCTGCATTCCCACAGCAGCCAGGCAATCTGCAAGTCTCTGCCGTTTCTGATGGAAACTCTGTGGCAGCTGGGAGAAATAACTGTCTGGCTTCCCAAAGCGCTCATACTCCCGCTGAAAGCCATGAGCCACAGCGTCCTGGACAGAAACACAACCAGACAAAAAGGAACTTTATGACCCTTTGAACCAGGGCTTCGGAAAAATAACATAAGGCTTTAATCTCAGTGTAGTAAAGTCCAGCAAATATTCAAAAATGAAAAAAGGACTCTTGTCCAATAGCGGACTCTTACCTGAGCTGCTGTGGCAGAGTGATACACTGAGTTCTGGTGCACTGTTTTCAAGTGCTTCAGAATATGTTGAGGACCTATTGCCCAGCCCACCTTTAATTCAATTGGAAAAAAAGGAAAATTACAATATGGATTTTACATGTACAGTGAGCACAATAAACCTTTACTTCAAGCAGTTTGCCAGGCTGGCTGATAACCTATTCACCTATGGATCAGACAGTTTAGTAGTCTGAGCGAAGGTCACTGACACTGATAGCTGTGTGGGCTAATTGATACAAGGTTGAGAACACAGAGGTATGTTTCATACTGTACATCTGAATATGGAACTGTTTTCCTTTTGTTGTGCCTGTCTTTTGAAGTTTCCTGAAGTAAGACCCAAATGCAGAAGAACATTTGTTAGAAACTACAAATGAAACAGAACTGTTAATTATTTTTGTGCGCTAAAATATGTCTAACTTTTCGCTTTGTCAAGTTCTGCCACCTACAGCAAACCTGTTTTTGACTCTTCTGCATCATCTGTGTGATGATATGTCTCCTTGGTACCAAACTTACTCAAAAGGCAATATTGCTCATATAGATATACACTCACCACATCACCTTCTCAACAATAATGCATGTTTATAGCATGTTTAGCAGATCACATTAAAAGATTCTTAGCAAAATAATCCAAAATAATAACTTTTAAACAAGTACAGTAATAAATACAAATTTGCTTTTTTAATCCTACAGTGGTTTCAGATAATACAGGGATTTCCTTGTTGTGTTTGTTTCCTTATTTAAGAAACTTAATATTTATGTGCATTTAATCCAAAAATATATATTTAATTACTTTTTTCATTAACATAACACCTTTATAAAATGAGCATTCTGATTGGTTAAGGGTTTAAAAATGGCAACCCCAGATGTCCCCCTGACAGTGGTCACAATTCTATTTCACTGTTCACTTAAATCATTGATTTTCACAGTTGAATTCGCTTGCATGTGCTCCTTACCTTGGACTTCCTCTGCTGTGACTTTTATAAAGGAAAGTGGTCAAACAGAGATATTAAATACCTTGTCTACAAAGTAATGAGAATGCATGCTTTTAAACAGCTCAGGGATTTCTGGATTCCACCCTTGTAGAAGCTGATAACTCCACTGATCACTAGCAAATATTCAACCTCAGAGGTCATCACTGAAGAATCGAAATGGGTACAGGAAGGACAAAGTCTGGAAAGAGTGACCAAGATGTAAGGCACTTAGGAAGTGTTTAGTGTTTTCTTCATGCTCATTTGAGCTGTACAGTATGTGGTCTTGCAATGTCAGGTTGCACCAGAAAACCTTAAAAGATTAAATGTTACCCTGCTAAAGATTCGCCAGTGATTACAAAGTCCAATAGTGAAAATGTACCATACATGGCAAGCAGAAAGCTTTTACCAGGATGGCATTAAGAAACATGAGACTCAGAAATGCATTTGTTGCAACATGGAGAAACATATTCATATATCTGTACTGTGTCCAGAATAAAAATCATTACAATATTCCATTGTTTCCCCATCTTCTCTTACCTTCCATCCTGTAGCACTGAAAGACTTTCCTGCACTCCCAATTGTGACCGTCCTCTCCCACATTCCAGGTAAGGTGGCTGGATAAAGATGCAACAGATGCATCAGTGTCAGTGACACATGCTCACAAGGTATGTCATAATATTCTGGACTATGCAAAGTAAGATTTCAGGAAATATCTTCACGATCAAGTGTCCAGTGGGAAGTGGGAAGGTGTATTAATTCTAAATGGCTGTCTGCACCTTTGTGTCCCTTCAGCACGATTTCTATGGGCTTTCCGATTGTAAAATACAACAGTTTTATTACAGAAAACTTGGCATTTTATTATTAAATTGAAAGTGTTTGCTCCAAAGTTCAGCAGTTCAAATTTCCTGCAAAGACTAAGAGTGTTTGGAGTCCGACAGTAAGAAATTATATCAGATCTTTCCCACGTTCTCAACTCTGAATATCAACTTTTTCCTTCTGGCAAACGTTTTAGGGTTCCCAAATGTAAGTCAAACAGATACAAACATTCCTTTGTTCCACTATCCATTAAAGCCGTCAACGCAAATGTCAAGGATAAACACAATTTTGACTCTTATTACCCACTTGAGTGCAAAATGTTTTGTTATGTGTTATAAATGTTACGTGTTGTTATGTGTTATACATGTGGAATAGAGCGATTTGCAATGTTTTTCTTATTTTTTGTAATTGAATAATGTGCAATGTTTTTCTTTTCTTCTTCTTTTTTTTGTTGGCATTTTATTTAAATGTACAGGAGTGCTGTGTATCCATAAAAAAATTCCCTCAGGGGACAATAAAATCAAATCTTAAATATGTCCTCCACAATCACCTTTTCAATTTTGAGTAATGGGATTCTAGCGGAAATTTAAAAAAGACAAACCCCTCAACCATACACACCCATCTTAACTGCAAATACACTGTACTTGAAACAAGCACAGAATTCATTGCTTCGCACCCCTATTCACTTGCACTGGCTGTTTCCACCAGGTGAATGAAATTCTGATAACTTTGCTTTGGCCAAAGCCAAAACTGTTCCTAAAAGTGCTTACCTTTCTCTGAATTAAATCCTTTATTTAACCAGACATGATCACTGAAAATAAATTCTCATTTACAACCACAAACTGGGCATGATGCCTCACCTATCTTAATGTGCATGGCTCCATCATAAACAAGCCATTCATAGACCTCATCACTGATACAGACAACTCCGTGCTTCACACACAGGTCTGCTATCACCTGCAGCTCCTCTCGCTGAAACACCTGAGGCAACGACAGAAGCATGGTCAGTGATCACTACCTACATCTCAGTACCCAAAGCCCTCCAGCTCTCCAGAAGCCATTACCATCTAGAAGAATGTACCCTTAATCTGGGAAAGTACAGACAGTACAGGCCTGGTTCATGGCTTGAGAGAGAGAGAGCATTCATTACCAATGCCCATTTCACAATAAGCACAGTAGTCTACTATGCTTTGAAGAAAAAAAAATACCTTTCCCAGAGGATTGTTAGGTGTGTTCAGGACAATCGCTTTTGTGCGTGGAGTGAATTTGCTTGCCAGCTCTTCTGGATCCAAAGCCCAGTCCCTGCTAGACATGGCTTTCCCCTTCACTGTCTCCAAGACAGAACACAGGCTTTTAAGTTCACTGAAACAGATTCCAGTGGCAAGCAGGCTCTAAGGTACCCATTATACCAAGAAGTAGAATGATGAAACCGAAAGTATAACAAACAGAGTAAATAGGACAGGTATGTCCTGAAACAGAAGGAGCAGAAGGTGCTTCTTCACAGTCCAAAGACATACAGAAGGGTTAATAAGATCACTTTATTAAACCTTAACAATTTCTTGCATTAGGAATTTGTCTTTTCCATTCCCCAGCATGCTCTCCATGAGACACACAGACACACAGATAGGGAGAGAGCCTGGGGTCAGAGCGCCCCTGGAGCAGTTGGGGTTAAGGGCCTTGCTCAGGGGCCCAACGGAGTAGGATTCCTCTGCCGGCTGCGGGATTTGAACCGGCAACCTTCCAGCCACAGGTGCAGATCCTTAGCCACAGAGCCACTGCTCCGCCCCACTGGCTTCTGGGAAAATTGGCCCTGGTGTGAATTTGTGCGTGACTGCATCTATGTGTTCCCTGCAATAGACCGGCAACCCTTTTATAGAAGAAATACAAAAGGTAAACACCGAAAGGTCTCAGCATGACAGGTGCCGTATGATAAGATTTATATTTATGTATAAAAGATTTACATTTATTATAAAAAGGTCTGAAATAGCAACACACATACTTACTGGTCTCAAAGGCACATAGACTGCTTTTCCCCCTGCCATTTTCACCATTGGCTGGTAGCAGTCAAAAAAAGGCTCTATAAGTATAACCTGTGAGAAACAGAGATTGCTATCACAAAACAGCACATGTGCTGTATATAGTGTACAACTAAAAACAACCATTTACTGAAACCAAGAAACTTCTCCTTACACAAAGCAAAACCTACATAAGGTCATACGTTATCTTAATGAGTAATGTTTAGTTACAGTACATCATAGTACTAACTATATCTGCCAGGCCCTTGTATTATATGAAATCCAGATTTGTTATAAATAAAGGAGCTCCAGTTCTATCTCTTCCTCATCCATTGTTAAAATCTATAAAAGTAATAGCCTACTGTATTATCTATAAAAGTAAGACCTACTGTATTATCTACCTTTGAGTTGCACAGACACCTCGTGCTAACTTGTGTTGTGTAGATGTTGTTTTGCAGACTTTCAAGGTCAGCTGTAACATCCTTCTAATACGTTACCAGGACACGAATAGTTTGCAGTTTCAAACTATTAAACATTTTAAGCTACTAGTTTAAACCGTGTTTTGAAAGTCTGCAAAAGAAGTTCGGAAAAAAGCTTTGAACATTGTTAAATTGGTTTTAAAAAGTGAAAACATGTATGCTAGATTATAATACAACATCAAAACACAATTGATTCTTCACACCTGAAGAAGGCTCCACAGCCGAAACTTTGTTTTCTTTCTTCTCTTTTCAGCAGTGAATAAACCTATTACTTGTTCCTCAAAATACTATTTACAAAATTCACAAATTACATGGACGTGGATCAGTGAAAATGAAAGATGCAGTGTACCTCATCCCCTTCATCAACGAGCGCCTGAAAAGTACAGTACAGGGCCTGGTAGGCTCCCACAGAGACCAGGATGTTTTCCATGGGGTCTATCTGCCGATCCACGATTCTCCCAAAGAACTTTGCCAGGATTTTCACCAGAGGCGGATAACCCTGTGGCAGTAAACACGTATTCCTTATTACAACCTAGACAAGCCTTGAACAAAACATCAGATATACTGTACATCTTATCTTTGAGCTACACCAAGGCACCAACTAGCTGTAAAAAGGGATATTGACTGTCTGGGTCTCACTAATACAGAAACTTTGAGCACCCTAAGTACTCTACTGTGTAATAATAGCAAAAGCCAATGCCAGAGTAATCATACTACAATGAAATATACCCTATGTTACTTGTTAAGGTTAACATGATCAAATGCAGATCTCCTTTAGTATGCAGCTAGTGTGTGTTGTATATAAAAAAACACCTCTTCATGAATTGCTTACAAAAGCCCGGGTATACTGGTGCAGGTCATAGTCCCCACTGACAGCGTGACAAAAAGCTTCTTTCATGAAGTCAGGAGGAGAGAAATCTGGAAAACCTTGACCCAGGTTAACAGCCTTGTAGTCTGCTGCCAGCTGGGTAAATTCAACCCTACCAAGGAAAGAGGACATAAGGACTTGGTGAGAGAAGGCTCCTACATGACAGCAATGGGCATACTCCACAGGAAATTAACCCCATAGGTGGTTGTTATTGACATGATAAGCACCAAAAACACAATGTTCACTTCTAAGCCACAGTAAGATACTGAGACCAGACACAGCAAACTTGTTTGTCACTCACAAACAAAAAGTAACAACATAGCATTCTGTATTGAATTAGTGTGAGCTACCAATATCTTGAACAGTTGCTTAGTTTGTTGTTTTTAACATTTCTTTTCTGTTTGATTGTCGTTTTCTTCCCTGAAATAAACAAGCCCGGGTGGCATAATGGTGCAGTGGTTAGCATAACTGTGTTTTTGGGGCCCCGTGATCAATTCTGGAACTGGGATGCTATCTATGTAGAGTCTGTGAGTCCTCCCTGTGTTTGCATGGGTTTCCTCCCACAGTTCAAAGACATACTGGCAGGTTAATTGGCTTCTGGGAAAAGTGGCGCTGCTGTGACTCTGTGTTTGTGTACGCCCCGCGATAGACTGGCATCCCATCCAGAGTGTACCCCGCCTTGTGCCCATTGCTTGCCCTTGACCCTGAATTGGATGAAGCCAAGGCAGAGTGACAGAATATTTGGCACTGTGCACAAAAAGAAAAATAAAAATAAAAAAACAGCACAAATTCAATTGGAGAGCCTTTAAATTATTGTAAAAACGCATTGAGAGGAGATGAACATTTATTCATGATCGTGTGCAAGGACTTCAGAGCTTATGGTAATTATCACACAATGGGGGATGCACAAGATTAACACAGTAAGGAGCTTGCAAGCAAAAATTGAGATTTCAATGATAATTGATTTAATGAGAGCTCTGAAGGGTCGATGACAACCAAGTTCAGTTTCAACACTTCTTTCCTGTTGTAATTTCCTGAAAGCTCTAAACTCCAGATGCAATATTCTCTTTTTGCATTTGCGTACTGCATCCCCGCCTCCTGTAACTGTGCAGCGGTCTCCTGGTGAACCCCTCACTCTGAGTGGGGTTCCAGTTTCCTCCTCCTCCTCCTACGGCACGAGGGCTAAGCCAAATTCCATTACACATATTCAATAAAACAAACACAAACAGTTCTGGGGTGTTTCTCTTGCTCGTAAAGTGTCATATTTACCAAATATTTTTGTCCACTCCCTCAATCCGGCGAGCGTGGAGCTGGCGTGACATTTTCAACTATAAATGAACACAGAAATAAAATATTTTGCTTTATGAACGTACTTCACTTTCAATATTCCACTAGCATACCTGTTGACTTATTGTGAGTACAATGCCATAGCTCCATTATTAGTAGCAGTACTAACATTCAAGCGCAATTCTTCAAACTGATTTAGCTTTTAATAGGTTTCTGTCAGTATTACGATAAATCACGATCTTGATCCTACCTGATTTCTATGAAGTTGATTGAATATTTCCTTGTTGGTGATCTGACACTTCCCGGGAAGAATAATACTTCTTCTGAGGATGCCAGATAGCGTTCAACAGCAGGAGTCACTCGGTATAAAAAACTGTGTTTAAACATAATGATTGCATTCACAAAACTATAATCAGTGAATTCGTTTTTTTTAATGGTACGTTTGAGGTAAAGTGTGAAATATGTTTACTAGAATGTACTGGGTTAATGTTGCATGAAAACAGCTCCGCTATAGAAAAAGCGTAGCTCTTTAAACTGAACACCGCTCTCCGTAATGCTCTAGTTATAGAAATCTCCTTCCCCTGCATGGTGTACGCATGTGCACAACCGTCTTTCTCCAGCCTAAGAGCGTCCCCGATCACGTGAAAGCGCATTTCCTGTCAGAGCGCTACAAATGATCTGAAACTCTAAGCAGAAATTGTTATTTTACAATTCAGAAGGATTCTTTAACACTGCAAGTAGTGGACGCCCAGTGTTTGGCATGTGTCTACGTTCCCGATTGTGCTTACTTTTTAAAATTAGAGAGCAAGCGTGTCTTAAAATGCACATCTTAAGACGTACCCCAGTATTTAAAAAGTGTACGTGGTCCATCACTCATCTTCATGAATCTGAAAAGTTATTCTTTACAGGCGTATATACTCCACACAAAAGGGCGCCAAATCCAGAACTGCGACATGGACTTGTGAATGGATGAAAATTATAGTTGACTGACTGCCCTATCTTTCTTACACCCGAAGAAGGCTCTACAGCCGAAACCTTGTGTTTCTTTTATTCCCTTTTCAGGGGAGGGGGAGAGACACACAATCCATATTTTGCGGATGATATTTATTTTGACGACTTTTTCAGCCTATTACAATCGATGGTACTGATGTTACCAAACCAGCAAGTGAGACAGTATGTTAATACACTTTCAATAAAAGACTCGTAGAGAAGTGTTAGGTTGGTTCTATCTACATTAAAATTGCTTTGTTTCCTCAGAAAAAGAGTCCGTTGTCCTTTTTTATGAATAGTGTCACAGCATTTGTTCCAACTCAGGGTTTTATCTACAACAAGTCCCAAGTACTCACAGTCATTGACAATTTCTACAGTCTGACCCTTAACTACAGTATCTTGGAGGAGTTTTGCATTTTTCCTAAACTCAATGACCATCTCTTTTCTTTTTAAAACATTTAAGTGCAAAGAGGACTCGTCATAACATTTAGTAAAGTCATATAGAACGAATCCATTATAGTTTTGTAGGTCCCTTAATAAGCTGACCAGGCCTGTGTCATCAGCAAACCTGATGAGATGTCTCTTTGAATGTCTCCTTTTACAGTCGTTAGTGTACAAAATGTACAGTAAGGTGGACAAAACAACCTTGTGGTGACCCAGTACCAAGTATAGCTAATCCAAGATAACCATACATTACACTGTTTCCTGAGTACTACTTCCAATAGACCATAAAATAAAACAATAATGTTTCTCATAATATTTTTGTCAAACACACAAATATCAGCAAAAACGGTGTAATTGAACTTTTACTAATGATTAAATATCTTTAAACAGTCTTAAGCGTTCAAGTTCAGATCAGCTGAGGCCTTGTGAACGCGCTTTTACGAAATCGGGAGCGCCCGTGGACCAGAGAGAGCACAGGTGCTCATGCGCACTAAGCACAAGTTAATATTTGAGTTCTGCGAGACGGCTCAGCTGTCAAATGGTGACGAAGTGAATCTACTATTTACATTCATTAGAAAATATACTTGTGCACTACACGTTACTCTTAACTCACGACATAATCTTATGTCAACAACAACGTGCCTTAATTATAACAAGGTAACGCACCAAAATCATATGAACGTCACAAGTAGTAGTGTTAGAAGTACTCATTTAATCAGTAACTTGGAACACTTAACTGAATCCTCACTTTAAATGGAATGTTTAGTTTTCATTTGTCGGTATTATTTAATAAAAGAATCGGGCATAACTGTGACATCAAGCGAGTTATCATACTGCAGTGAGTCTAAAGTCTGTCGGAGTGTAGTAAAAGCAAGTAAACAAATTTAACGCTTATAACGCTGCATATTCCGCCCTGGTGAGGATTTTTACAACGTTATTGAGTCACAGAAATTTACTTTGAAAATAGTGAAAACGAATTTACCTGAGGTGTTGTAAAAACGCTCATTCGTCCGTAGAGGCTACTTGTCTACTTGTACTATATTACCCCATACGTGACCGCAGTGTCGCATAAACGTGAACAAGTCTCTCGAGAAAGCCAAGCGGCGCTGTTTTTGAAAACGACCCAACACCTATCAGAGCGGAAAGGTAAGAGAGAACAAACTCCAGTGCTTTTCGTAGTACTCGACTAGCTTTCTGGATACAAAATTAGATTACACATTAAAACATTAAATTAATGTTTTTTTAACGTGCAATTCGCATTGCTTTGTAACCTAGGTCGGCAGCGTCGTAATAATTATAATGTGTGCATACACGGACATCAACCACTGAAAACATTCCCCTGCCACTTTCAACAGGATTGTGTTAAATACGAGACCATCAATTAAAACCAAAATATCGCAATCGGGACTTAAAAAAAATAAAGCAACTTAAAATTAACATAGGTGTACATAAACAGGGGGTACAAGGCCCCTTGTCTCGGCTTTCCCATAACTGATGGACAAAAGCCAATATACGGCACCGATAAAACTGCATTATATAGATATATTCACATCTATATTGTGAGCAAGCAAAACCTTTTATTTCAAACTTGTCTTCCACTTTTAAAACAGCAATTAAGCTTTATTTACTGTATTCCTAAAGTGCAACTTACTGTGAAATAATCGACGGCAACTGGCTGACATTTTTCCAATGCTGGCACTACCTACCTCCTATCTACTGGTATTAACACCTCAGTCTCATAAGACAACTACAGATGACAAAAACAATCTTCTTGCAACATGAAGGAAATAAAATTTCCCAAAGTGTTGTTATCATTTTTTTATTAGCCTATTCACATTTTTTTTTTAAAAAAACGAGTCTTCTCACTCCTGTACTGTACATGTTGAAACAGTAGATGTACACAACTCTGGTATGGGGGTTTGCTATGAATCAGTGGGAGTGAGCTGCCACCTTCAGAGGAGACCACCACACAGCGGCAGTGAATGACAATTCCCACAGGACGTGGAAACAAATTAAAACCACATTTGATAAGGGGGGGGACTGAGCTGGCCCAGAACGATAATACTGTGCTTCGTTCACATTCCCGTTGGGCCTACTTCAGGTCCTCTGGTAGGATCCGGCCCTTTTTGCGGGCTCGGTCCTTGCGTTTCTCCGCTTTGCTTTGCTTCTTCTTCTGGATGTTCTTGCGCCGTTTGTCCTGGCGGTTCTGCATCTTCTCCAGCACGTTCTCGCTGCGCTGCTCCCACCGCCTCTTCTTCTGGGCGCGCATTTTCTCCTTCCGCTTGAGGGAGCGGCGTAGGAGCTCCTCGTTGTCCTTGATCTTCAGGCCCTCGGCCTTGTACAGCACGTTGGTCCACTTGATCTTCTCCTCCAGCTCCTTGGCCTTCTCCTCGTCTTTGCTCCGCAGCTCCTCCACTTTTGCCTTCCGGGCCTCCACGCGGTCCAGGAGCTGCTTGTAGTTCTTCCCTGTCAGCGGCGTCACGTTGCCCTTGATCTTCTTCCTCTTCTCCTTCTTCTGCTGGGCTTTGCTCACGTACTCCCCGCTCAGGTCCACCTTGTTGAAGACTATTGAGGTCTCCGCTCCTCCTCTTCCTCCGGTGCCACCTGGATTCTCGACTTTCGCCCCATCGCCCTTGGACTCCTCAGCTGTCTCACCTTCTCCGGTTTTCTCTGCGAGCTTCTTCATCCTTATCTCTTTCCTCTTCCTCTTCTTGCGCTCCCTCTCCTGCTTTCTTCGTGCACGTTTCTTTGCCAAGTCTTCAGCTGACAGCCCCTTGGAACTTCCCTGAAAGACATAAGGCAGCGATTACCCCTCCTTACTGCCGCCTGCAACCCTTTGATTCTCAAATTCTTTTCACCCCTTAGCAAAAATCACTGAAGTAATTCAGTTCTTTAAACCTCAGATATCTCTTAACTCTACAGTTGAATCCCTCTCATTTTGCAGTAAAATTGAAAAGACATGAAAAAAGACACACTTCTTTTAAACTTAAATGCCTGGGTTTGATCAAAGAATGTAGCTTACGTGCTTGTGCTCAATTTGTTTAAATTTTGTTTTAGCCTTCTGCACAATCTGGCATGTCTCACACCCCTAGAAAGGGCGATGTGTAGAACAAATGTCTCCATTCCTGATCCTGAACCCCAATCTACCCTACTCCAAGCTCCAATCCTGTTGGTCTCATTTCTAACCCCGACTCATGATTTTCTTTAAAAGATTAAAACCACTTAAACATTACTGATCAATTAAACAAGTAATCTGGTCCATTAATGAAACTCTAGAAGATTGAAAAGTCCTCAGTATCCTTTTTCCAAATGATCTCTATATCACTTTACAAAAATTGCTTGTTTCATTCAGTTTAGTTGTTCCAGATCTTTAGGGTCTAGGGATAAGCAAAATCCTAAAACAATCAGATTCCAAGCTGTCTGGGTGTGTTTATTATCATGGTTCAGGATTTATAAAGAAAGTAAAATCTAAGAGTACTACAGAGTAATGAAAAATTAAGAGATAAGAGAGATGCCCGGGAAGTGAGATAATCATATCATTTTCTTGTTTTTGTATGTTTTTGCAAACTATGCAGTCTAGTGGCTTGACGTAGGCTTTGTGCTCAAATGTATATTAAGATGCTGCCTGTCCTTGGTCAGTAAGATAAGGGCATGTATTTGGTAAGCTGGCTGTATGCCCAGAATATGAAAATAACTAACTGTTGTCTAGTCTGCAACTTAGATATAATTAATTGGCAGGTGTTGCTGTCTTATCATTTATTTGGAATATGTCATTGTAACTCTTTGTGTTTTAAGGTATAAAGGACCATCTTCAGCTACTTATTTTTTAAGTCTGGTGGTTGCAAGCCGGACTTCCATATGCATATGAATAAAGGACTTCTGCTTCACAGACACCTAAACTTTGTCATTTGTTTGACACTACAGTAACTACAGATAACAGAACAGTGAAATCTTAGGCATCTAAAACTGCTGCATTCAACATTTTCAATTAAACAATTAAATTATTCTCTTTAAATATGGGAACATCCCTAGCTGAAATATACATACATTGCCACGGGACTCTTCAATCTTTTCATGCAGTCTCTGACGCAAAATATCCACAGCAAAAAAGGAGTCAGTGGCAGTCTTTGCATCTGTAAAGGAAACGCAACACCTTCAAGACTAGTACCACCTGCCTAAACAATTTTAGGATTGTTTTCACTTGAATTACATAAAATACAAAACAACAATGGATAAAATATGAATCACAAAAGCTGTGTAAACAACAGCACACTGTCAAACTGACGGTCTGAAAAAAACATGTTCATACTTTTACATAAGATTTATAAAAATACAATAACTAAAAGCAAGTTGGACCAGAGACAAAATTAAGTGAGTGGACACTAAACAATATTTTCCAACTTTTGAGAGGTTTGAGGTTCCCAACCAAAATAACAAAAAGTAAACCTAACAAAGCTATAACATAGCATCAACATCCAAAACTGTCAATCATGTCTTTTGGTGCTACTAAATTACACTGTTGTTATTTGAAAGCTGTCAAAGCAAGAGCTTTCAAATGACTTCATACAATATTTTAATTCTCACCTTTGGGTGCCTGTGCTGTCTTGACAGCTGTCCCATTCAGAACTGTCCCACTGGTGCCATCAAGCACAGTGGTCTGAGCTTTGCTGGGTGCTGGCTGAGAAGATCCTTTCTTTGTGGTGTTCACTACAGGCTTCCTTTGCTTGGCTTCTGAAGTCTTTTTTCCATTCGGTTTCTCCTTTTTTTTCTTCTTTGGCTGATCTGCCTCCCGGCTCCTGTATGGAACTAGGGCGTTTTAATAATAATGTTGGTTACATTTGGCTAATCGTGAACTTAAAACAGCAAAACAAGATGTTTCTTACTGAAGTGTAAATCAAAATTAGAACGTAGGATATATACTCCATGTAACAGTGCAATAACCTACAAAAAAAAATCTAATTTATATACTGCAGAGAATGGAACAATCTCCTTGTGACATCCATCTGATATCTGTTGTGTTTTCAAATTGCTTTAGTTATGACAAAATACCACACTGAGATGAGACTCGTGTTCATGTACTGATAAATACACTATAATATATAATAGACTGCCATGAAACCTGACAAGTAGTCAATCATAAAAAAAAAATGTTATAATGAGGCCGTCCAGTCTATCTAGCTTGGTTGCTAGTAGCTAATTGGTCGGAGAATTTCATCCAGATGATCCTTGACGTACCAAGGATTTACGACAATGTAGCTGGGCAGCCTGTCTCATAAACACACAACCGTTAACCTCTGCCCTTATAATGAAAACACGAATAATGTCTATAATTATAATGGTCTCCTAATGTGTAAAAGAAAAGAAAAACTGAAATATTACCAAAGGGTCGTTTTCGTGGTTCTTGATTCTGCGTTGCACACACTTTACTTGCTAGTTTTTGAAGGTATGCGTCCTTTGAAACAAGACTCGCCATTTCTTTAAAAAGCCAGAAAGACAAGCAAGATTTAGAACTCATTTTACACATGAAAGACGTTGATAGGCTCAACATTTCGTATAATAAGATAATAATGTGTTAATTAACCGCATTATGTTAAAGTTCTTTGTTTTACTGAAGTACTCTTGTATTTCTAGCAACTATGTTTAAAAGTGTTTCAGAAAACCTGAGAACGATTACCACTCAATACACGTGTATCATAAAGTGAAGCTCAACTGAAATGCTAGACTTGTGTAACTGGGGCTACCAGCTCGATCTCCAAAACATATCTTCGATCGGAAAAATTAGTTAATAATAAATATCAGTCGAGCATGTTACCTTCTTGTAATAATAACAGTTATCAAGCAGTTTACACAGTTCCCAATACCTGCGTGTAGTACAAGCGGTCTTCTGTTAAAGGACCCACATGGCAAGACGTAAGCAATCGAAGCACGCCATCATCGAGCAAACACAAGGCTGGAGAAACAGAAAACGTTTTTTTCCTCTGTTCCCCTTCGGCTTGTTTTTTTTTTTAAACTAATGATAACGTACAACAGATTAGCTAAACATAAGTCTGCCACTTTTAGAGCCGTGATTAACCATGCTGGACTTGATTGATACAGATCGAATTCCGCTTCGAGCTAGAGACGGATGAGGAGGAGCTATGCTCTGCTGTCGGAAGTAGTTACTGTATCACCAGTCCCTGGAAAACAACCTTGTGGCCGTACAAATGTGTCTTCAGATATAGTTTGTACTGTAGTTTGCTTTTTCGCCAAAATGAGTAGGATCAAATTAGTCTTAATGTCTTCTACCAGAGCTCTGATGATTTTAAGAAACAATGTAAGTAGTTACGCTAGTTTTGCATAAAATTAAATGATATAAATTTGAGCGACATTGTAATGTGGTCTCTGTTTACATGTAGGTTATGCAATTTTTTTTTACAAAGTATTACTGTTTTTCACGACTAGAGTAAGCAAAGGCGAGCCTGTCCTCTTATTCTATAAGAGATGAAGGGTGATGTCGTGCGTTTTTGAATGTTGTTTCAGACCCATCACTTATGCGCCAAAGGGACGGTTTGTGGACGACGCTTCGGTTTTTCCACGCTTCTTAATTTAAGGAATTGTGAGGGTAAGGTTTCTTTCTTGTTCCTATCAGGAAGGGGAAAGTTCCTGAAAAGCCGTGTCTGTTTGAGCATTTACATGCTGTACAATTTGAAATGGTAAAGAAGAGGCGAATTTGATATTTCTCCAAGGGGTGTCAGGGCTTACTTAGGTAATCAGCACAAGATTCTGCTGTTGGGTTTGAGGTGGCCTTAAGTACACTACCCAAAGTATAGTACTGGGTTCAGTTCTGACCTTGAGAGACTGTCTGTGTGGAATTTTGCACGTTGTGCTCCTATTTGCAAGTTCCCTTCCACCTTCCACAGATATGCTGGGTGGATTTGTTTAACGACTCCAAATTGTAGAAACTGCGGAGGAGCCTCTCGGATAAGCCCCACCTAGCTGTGACCCTCAGGAGCACGAACTTACTGAAAATGAATAGGTGATGGTTTCCAAACAAGTACTTTTAACTAAACAACAGGAAGTAACCCAGGTTTTCAGGTGGTGTTATAACCTGATTTCCATACTCAACATTGATTTGTTTAGACTTACATTTTGTACATTTGGTGAATGTTCTTGTATGCCTGTGTTTTGGGATTAAAAGTCTTTGTTTGAACTGATGTTTATGACAAGAGTTTAGTTGCATGGTCAGGCTCTATCCAGGCTCAGTGTCTGTTTTAGAAGTACCCGCTGCTCTTGTTTCTGTCATTAGGAAGGAACGTCCGACCGTACTCACAGTCCAGCCCCACAGCGGCTGAGACAGAGAAGGGAAACGACACCTTACTCAAATGGTTCCTTCTGCTGATTCCAGCCACCACCTTTGGCCTGGGAACATGGCAGGTATACCGACATTTTCAGAAAGCTATACGCCACACTCATACCTATCATTAGATTTTGAATTGTAGTTTTGCACCTACAGTACATAATCCTAAATCATAGCAATGACACACTGCCAAAAGCTAGTTGACCATTTCAACTGTAGTACAGTTCACCTTTGCATATCTCTACCAGTTTCCTGATTTGCGGATCTGAGAATGGTGCACCGCGTGTCATTAATGAAGGAGAACATGGGAAGAGATCTTTTTTTTATTTTTCCTTCAGGTTCAGCGGAGGAAATGGAAACTAAAACTGATCGAGGACCTGCAGAGCCGGACTGCTGCAGAGCCGATTGACCTCCCTCTGGAGTAAGTGGTGGAGAATGCTGCTACGAGCACTAACAACACTAGTCCTGGAGAGTTGGTGTGTCTGCGGGTGTTCATTCCCCCCCCCCAGCTCTTAACAGATCAGTGGGACCAGTTAACAGCTTTTCTGACCTCTTTAGGTGCTGCTGCTTTGGACAGACTCAACTGCCCTCTAGGGCCAGGACTGCCACCCCGCTGTTACTTAGCTAGGATATTACGAACATTGGTTCGTAAGATCAAATTTCATCACTTCGTACATACTTGTGAGCTCTGTAGGTCCAACATTAAAGCAGTTATACAAGCTGCAGTCCACATATCAAACGCTTTATAGCCAGCAGCCATATCACCCTGCAAATCACAGTTGGCAGCCCACTGAAGCTCAGCAGGTGTGAGCCTGGACAGTACCTGGATGGGAGACCTCCTGGGAAAGCAAAGGCTGCTGCTGGAAGAGGTGTTAGTGGGGCCAGCAGGGGGCGTTCACCCTGCGGTCTATGTAGGTCCTAATGCCCCAGTATAGTGACGGGGACACTATACTGTCAAAAGGCACCATCCTTTGGATGAGACATAAAGTTGAGGTCCTGACTCTCTGTGGTCATTAAAAATCCCAGGGTATTTCTGGAAAAGAGTAGGGGTGTAACCCTGGCATCCTGGCCAAATTTCCCATTGGCCTTTACCAATCATGGCCTCCTAATAATCCCCATCTATGAACTGGCTTCATTACTCTGCTCTCCTCCCCACTTAGAGATGATGTGTAGTGAGCGTACTGGTGCACTATGGCTGCTGTCACATCATCTGGGGGGGGCTACACATTGGTGGTGGTGGAGGGGAGTCCCCATTACCTGTAAGGCTCCATATAAGTGTAAGGAATTATTATTCTTGCACGCTTGACACCTTGATGAATTAATGAAGGCATGCATCTCTGGCCTCTGATCTAATAATTTTTAGCTTCTTCTGCCATTATCCTTGTTTCTTTTTAAGTATCTATAAGGCGTGAGGTGAGCACGGCTGTCACTCGGAGCCGGTGTTCGACACTGGGGTTGCGTATTCACCGATCGCCTCTGCGCGTGCCTGTCTCCCCAGCCCCCTGGAGCTGAAGGCCCTGGAGTACCAGCGGGTGAAGGCGCGCGGCCGCTTCGACCACTCGCGGGAGCTGTACGTGCTGCCGCGCTCCCCCGTGGACCCCGAGCGCGAGGCCCAGGAGGCCGGCAGGATCATGTCGAGTGGAGGGAGCGGAGCCAACGTCATCACACCCTTCCACTGCTCCGACCTGGGGTATATAGCGCCGATTCGCCTGCTGAAAACATCCTTCTAATGAATGAGCATGGAGAAGATACAATATGGATACAATATGCTTGAAGGAGGGCATTTCTGAAGCTTAATGGAGTAGTTTTCCTCTCAACGACTGTTCGTATATAAATACTGTAGTTCAAGTAGGGAGCTGCGTCAGCTTGCGCAGGCTGCAAAGGGTTTATTCCCTGCTGAAAAGAAATGAAAGGAAACCCAACATTTCGGCTGTGGAACCTTCTTCGGGTGTGAGAAAGACAGGGTAGACGGCAATGATTAGGGCGAAGCGGTGGCTCTGTGGCTAAGGATCTGCG